TTGGAGAGAAGTGGATGAATTTATACAGGAACTAAGTGATTCAAATCTGCTTTCCTTTTCTATAGATGCAATTCTCTGTCTGCATTCCAACTGTTGGCACAGAAGCCCTGGTCCACTGCCCTGGTTTATCACCTTCACACAGAGATGGGGGTTGCAGGCATAGGGGCTGCACATCGGGGCCACACATCGGGGCCATGTTGACCTGCTTCTTTCCAAACTGCTCCACGGGTTATGTGTTTACATACACCCACAGAATGCGTTTGGGAAGGTTACTTTTCAACACTGTGAATCTAATGCACAGAATGACACACGTTTTTAAGTTAAAAGTCAAGATGTTTTTGCTTGGATTTAACCTAACCTTCTTTTGTTTTAATCCAAACTCCATGATGCTTGATATGATACAGACTTCCTGAGTGACCCAGGCATCATTAGTAACAGACACTTTGGCCTTTTTATCCTTTTTCTATTTTTCTGTAAAAAGGGAAAAGCAATTTCTGTTCATCTGTGAAGCACCATAATGAATAGATTTGCAGATTAGATGATACAATTTCTGAAACTGCCATGGATCTCATGTTTAAAGGACAGTGTGTGGGTGTGTGTGTGTGTGGGATGATGGTGAGGATAGGGAGTGGGGGTATGGCAAGCTTCAAGAATTTTAAAAATATTCTTAGTGTTTTGTTAACCTTCTCTTACCAACCTTCACATCAAATTTTTGAAAATCACGTGGTATACTTACAGGCGTTTGTTTTGTTTTTCTTTATTCTTAGAAAGCATTCTTTCTGGATTGTTTTGTTTTAGTCCTGAGTAGGTAACTATGCTGCATGAGGATAAAGTGGTTTTTCATGAGCAGGTGTTGCAATCAAATACAATTCTCAACAAAAGATGCTCTGACAGATATTCACAACATGAGTAATCCAGCCTGCGTGATGATTAGCTAGAAATGCTAAGCAGCAGTTTCCATAAATGACTATAATTAGTCATCTTTTAACACAGCTAAGCCAACTCACAGTGCCTCTTCTTAGAAGTTCTCTAGAATCTATAAATATAATGTTCAGCATTTCCCCAACATCATGTTCAGTCTGAGTCTCCCCGCAATGTGTCCTCTTCTTTGCTTTTCCTTCCTCACTCCCCACTCCTTTTCTCCTTCCTCCACTCATCCCTCCCCTGCAGACTGTCCCGCCCAGACATTGCTTTTCACCCTCAATTCTTCTCTCTTTCCCATTAAAAGAAAATAAGTTTGCATCTGATTCTCCCCGAGCCCCATGGCGAGCGTTCCACAAACCCATGTCCTTTTTCTTAAAGACTCCGTATAGGACATCCCAGCTGTCCCTGCTCCCCAGTCCTGCTGGGATCTGCTGGGAATCTAGGTGGTCAGTGCCTAGCTGGGATGGGAGAAGGGTGCTGGGAACTACACCGGATGTTCCTTTCCTATGATGCCTATACTCTAGTAGGGGAAGGGTAAGGCTGGGCAAGGGGTGGAGAATGGATAGAGGGACCAGCTGGTCAGGAGGCCTAGATCCCAGCAGAGCATTAACCCCCTAGCTCTGATCCCTCATCCAGGACAGTAAGGATGGCTGGGCAAGTGGCCTGAGCTCTTATAATGCACCTGCTACATATAATGCATCCAGACCTGCAGCAAGACAGCCATGACAGCCATTCCCATCCCCAATTACATGCATGTTCAAAATACTTAAAGGCTGAATGTTAAAAGAGAGAGGATAAAGCTACTGAGCATTTGAAGTAGAGCCTGGAGCAGTAATGGGACAGCACTGTGACTCCCTCGCAGTGCAAGAGTGTTGTCTCCTCCTCCCTACCTAGCCTGGCATGCTTTCATTCTTTTCACTTGCTCTCCTCCCAACCCTACACACACACACACACACACACACACACACACACACACACACTCAGATGCCTTCCATCCCTGCAGGCTACATGTCAGAGGCAGTCACCGGACTTGGAAAACAACAAGTTTCTGTAACTTAAGGAGGTAGAATGGGAACTTTTCCCACCATGCCCTCTGTTTCCTGACGCCAGCTCTCCAACCACTGTACTCCCTTCCCCAACCCCACCACCTTCATCGGACTCCCTGAGTCTGAAGGCACAGGATAGCTAAAAGGAGCCTTCATCCCTGCGACTCTACTCTCTTCTCCTCAAAGAAGTGACAGGCAAGGTAGGGCATTCTCACTGTCTCAACAATATAATTTGCACATGCCCTGGCCCTGTGCCCTTCAGTAGTGATGTCTTCCCTCCCTGAAGTGCCCTGGGATTCTCCTTTGTCACTAACTGGCTTCCTTTCCTGGCATGGAGCACCTGACCGTGTTCTACTTGTCTCTTTTACTGGCAAACTATATCTGCCAAGTTGGCTGGCTTTTGCCTTAGGGGTCAGGAGAGGGAGCAACCAGACCAGAAGAGGGACAGGAGCATCAGCCACCTAAAGAAGGAATGGTAGCAACAATGAGACTGTTTAATCTTTCTAATTGCCAATACCTTCAATACAGTATCTGATATTCATTCAGTAGTTATCAAGGGTCACTTCTGTGCAGCCACTGTTCTGGATTGTGGGAATACAGAGGGAAAAGGACAAAGTGCCTGACCTCATCTAGCTTTCATTCTAATGGAGTAGCAAGGCAATAGACACATAAACGTATACTAGAAAGCCAGCTAGTCAGGAGCATGCTTATCGTTGTTTTTTTGGTTACCCAGAATCTGAACCTCCATCTTATGTCTGAGATTCCCTACCTCATAGAATCTGGTGGATAAGCAGAGCCCATGGTCCATTACATAGCAATCGAAAATGCCTGATAGTGGTTTTATTAGCCTCCCTTGTAGAAGGAGCCAAGGCCTGTGGCCGAGGCTCCACCAGCCAGACACACTGGCCAACAATCTGAGTTAGGAACCAATGACTCAAGCACAAAGAGACTGCAGAAAGCCCTCATAGGTGATGGCAGCAGCTGCAGAAAGATGGGGATTCCAGGGGTGCTGGTGACAGCGGGTTGCAGCAGGTGTTAGTGTCTGGGACAGTAGCATTGGTGACATAACCAGTGGCAGCTAGGGCAGCAGAGATCCCACCAATTGGTGCAATGCGTGCACTTTTCTTGGCTATAAACCACTAAACCTTCCCAAACATTCCTGGAGCTGTCAAAGTCTACAGATAAATCCTCCTTCTACTTAAACCCACCAGAATTTCCTGTGCTCTCATCTAAGAACTGAACACAAAGAGTAACAAGTGCTCAATCAAAAGCAAAGCCAAACAGAGGGATGGAGAGTGATGAGAGGCTACCTTAGGTAGATGGCCAAACCCAGCCTCTCCGTGGATATGGCTTTTAAGTCTCTCCAGAAAGCCGGAGAGCAAGGCGACCTGAAGACTGAGGGAAAGAACTCCAGAGAGAGGACACAGTGCAAAGGCTGGGCAGTGACAAGCTGAGGGGCTGATGAATACCAAGAAGGCCAGTGTGGCCTGAGCTGAGACAGAAGCTAAGTCAGAAGGACAAGCCAGGACCACAGCCAGTGAGGCTGGTTAGATCTTCGTGTGGAGTCTGAGTGTCATGCTGCATGTGAGGGAAGCCCCAGCTGGTTTTAAGCAAGGCGACTGGTCGTTGAAAAGATCACCCCGACTGCTGTCAGGAGAATCGTCTGTAGCAGGACAGGAGTGGAAGCAGAAAGATCAGAGACTCTTGCAGAGGTCCAGGAGCCAGTAGTATGGCTCTGATCTCCCTAGGCCGAGGGCATTTGAGTGGTGGTGGTGGGAAGAAGAAAGAGGAGGGAAGGTGGAGCTGAGAAGCCTTGCTGTGGGTTAGATGTGGGGTGTGAAGGAAAGAGACGGTTCGCGACTGAGCCGTTTTCTGAGACGGGGAAGATGAAGAGAAAGGCAAGCTGGCGGGAGGAGAAGTCAGGATCAAGAGTTTAGCTTTAGATCTAGTGAGTGGGAAACACTGAGATGGAGTGGAGACAGAGTCTGCAGGGGGATGTAAGGACCTGGATGAGTTGGGGCGAGGCGGGCACTGGAACTAAATGTGTGGGATTCCTCAGCACAGGGAGGAAATGTATAGCCATGAAAGTCAATATGCTCACTCAGACGAGAGTGTGGTTTGAGAAGGGGGCTCAGGACAGAGTGCTGGGGAACCAGGAATGAAGAGATCACAACGAGGAAGAGAATCCAGCTAGAGAACTGCAGGGCGGGAGGAAGAACACGGACTGCGGCGTCCTGGAAGCCAAGGAAAGAAAACAGGGGCCTTGGCAATGACCCTGTGGACTTCCAGAGGATGCTTGTATCAAGCAGGTAAAGGGACTGGGCTCCCAGAGGCTGGGCCACCCCATTTCAGTGCATGGCCCGGTGCCTCTTTAGAAGAGGAAGCCCCTGGATTCCAGAATGTGCTGGCTCCACCCAAGGCAGACAGCAGTGAGGCCACACACTATTCCCGGCCCCCTTCTCTCTGAAAAGAGCCCTTTGTAACTTCTTTGAGAAGGAAACACCTCCGTCAGGGGAGGAACATTATTTGCTTCCTGTTAGAACAGACTTTTACTTAGGATCAAGCTCCGTGCCAGCCCCATCCCCACAGGGAGCAATAAGGGAAAGAGGAGGGAGGGGGCCGCAGATACTCACTTGTGGGGGCTGATTTCGCAGGAAGGGCTCTGCAGAGCTTGAAGAGGGGTGGGCTGCAGGCCCACAGCCACAGTCTCTCTCAGCGAGAAACCCCCTCCCTCCTCTGCCAGTCTGTCCTCCCCAGGCTCCGTTTGAAAGGCCTGGGAGGTAAGGAGAAGGCTGGTCAGCCTGGATGCTTAGTGGTTGGTTTAACACTTTCATACCTGCCAGCCCTTTCCCAGGAAGACTACAGCCAGTCATTCATTCACTGAAAAGCGCTTTGCCAAGCACCTACTCTGTGCTAGGTCTGTGCCCGGCATGGGGACACAGTATTAGAAAAATAAAAAAATCAGACTTATCCCCCATCCCCATTGAGCTTGCAGTCTAGTGGGATAAATTAAACAAATCACGCAAATACCTCCACAGCCACAAATGTGATAAGGCTCTAAGTGAATATCGCACATGATGGTGGCCCTGCTGAAGGCCAGGCAGAGGTTCCTTCCTGAGGAAGGACTTCTCTGAATCTCCAGAGGCCAATAGAATCTGTAACAGGAGGAGAGAGAGTCAGGGTTCTAGAATCTGCCCACTATGCTTTTAAAAGCTGACCCATCTCTGTTATGCCATGGCTGCGATGTTTTAGGTCCCCAAAGCCCAGAGCACATCGTGGAGCATGGAAGCGTGTCACTGAGAAGCCGAATGTGGCCCCGGGGCCGCTGGTGTGGAGGGTGTGTTCCGCTCTTAGGGCAGCAGCAACAGGTGCCGTGAGAGGCTCAGAGCTTTGGAAGCAGAAATGGCAATACTCGACATCGTCAGCAAATATTTGGGAGTCTTTTGTTAAAAGAAGAGCGGAATAAATATCTATGTCTCTCATAAAACCCAAAGGAAAGCTCCCAGATAGGCGTCTTTAGGGCTATGACCATCTCTGCAGCTTCACTATACTGAGTTAAGTCTGTAGAGCATCTGTAACCCTAGACATGTGCATCCACAACCTCCACGCACACACACAAGGACACTCCCACAGAGGACAGGCAGTGCGGACAGTTAGGGGAGGATGGTGGAGGCCGCTTCAATTCACTTCAGTGCTTTGGATTCAAGTGTTTTTCTGTTTCATTATCTGGGTAGCTGATTATTAAGCTAAACCCTCCTTTTACGGTTGAAAATACATTAGTCCCTTTTCTTGCATGAATCTAATTCACCAAAGCCTATTAAAGTGCTTTTGAACCAATGAGGAAATTTAATGCTCAAGTATTTTATTCTGAATTCCAGTTTTCCTTGTGTTATGATTTTACCAATAAAAGGTTGGGTTGATTGTATGGTAAAGATGAAAAAAGGCATATTTGGAAAGAACATGACAATTCTCAAGGTATTTATACTACTTTACTGTATTTGATCCTTACAACTGTCATGTCAGTTAGGCAAGAAATATTTCAGTTTTACAAACGAGAAAACTTCTGTCCTGAGACATTAAGTGATGTACTCAAAGGTCACATAATAATTTGTTTTGTTTTTATCTTCCCCACCATACTCCTCTATACCACCTTCAGGACTCTGGAAGTCAGATATATGTGAGTTTTTTGTCAACTAAATTCATAGTTATCTTAATATTCATCTCTTGCTAAAATTAAGGTGCAGAAATAAAATCTGTCTAATAGACAAATCCATCATTTGTCTGGATAATCAAATTTTACTATATTTTGTTTTAATCCTGAGAATGAAATTTTACAAATAGCTCAGGAGATTTTCCCTAGAGTTCCAAGTAAAATGTGTGTGGATCATTTACACATTCTGCTTAATCACATGACAGTTCCAAATTTTTAATTTCAACCCTTCATTACAATGAAAATTTTTGCTTTTTTTTTTTTTCACCTGCTCTTTGTTTTTCAATGGCTAAGGAAAGGAGAGGGGTGTGGGAAAATCTGTCTCTTTTGAGAATCACCAGCGCCATCTACTGTCAAGAAATGAAATCGTGACGCATTGTTACGTCAATGAACATTAGGGCTTAATGAGGGAAAGACAATTTTATACCCCAGTACTTACTGATAAATATAGGTTCAAGTACACATATTTTTATCTTATATTATTGTATTCTATAAGCAGCTTATAGGGAGAATAAAATGAACTTAATATATAATCATTTATGTAATTCTTAAGAGCACTAACTTTGGAAGAGGATAAAAATGGGGTGAATTTCAGCTAAACCACTTAATAGCCACGTGATTTCTCTTACCCTCAGTCTTTTCATCTGCAAAATATGAACAATTATACTGAGAAGGTTGTTGATTAAATAATATATGTAAAGTTTACCCCAAAGCTAGCAGATCAAGGCCTCTATGGTTATATGACATTTATGGAGCACACGCTAGATATCAGCCTCTGCCGGGGGCTTGCTTCATAGCAATCCTGTGAGCTGGAGAGGCTCTGAGCTAGCAAGTACTGTGTCCAAGATTATGCAACTAAATGAGAAGCATTTTTAAGTCCAATTTTCCATCTGATTTCAAAGTTGTTATCGTTTCTGCTGTCTCACAGAGCATGGCTATGAATCCCCTTCTGATACATATCTGTGAATGTTCACTTTAGGCCCACTGGTGAAGATCTGCTTTTCATATATTTATATGGGCTCCAGCCTTTGTGGTCTGATGTGTGTAGCTCATTGTAGGGATGTGCCAAGTTTGCCTAACCATGCTATATTTAAGAAAGTAACCTCAGGAAGACTCAGAGGATTTTACATGCAACCCTGATCATAACCCAAGATGAAAAGGATGATAAAGCTTTTCATCTTAGGTTATGATTTACAGCCCTCACAGCATTTTATACAGAATTCTCTGTTACTGTTACCTACCATGTCATCATAGTTTTGTTTTTTCTTTTCTTTTCTTTTCTTCTTTCTTTCTTTTTTTTTTTTTTTTTTTTTTTTTTAACAAAGCTGTCTCTGTTTCTGGAATAGAATTCCTCAAGGGCACAAGTCATGCTTGATAAATGAATGAATGGATGGATGAAAAGTGATTACGTATTATTTTCCCAGTATGAAGAGATGAGGTCTTCACAAGGCCTTTGAAGACAAGGACCGTAAATTCTCCCTACACCAGCATGTAGTGATTATCCATTTGAGATTTACTGACTACAGTTGAATCAAGTTGACTAGACGTTGCCCTCAAGATACTTCTTTAAAGACAGCCCACTTTAGAGTGCCAGTCTTCCCCCTAAACTAAATCCAAAGAGCATTTTTAAAATTCACATTTCTTCTCTAGAGAATTTAAGATTTTCTTGAGATTCAACAATAGTAACACTTATAAACAGATAAAATGTATATATAAGTCACAAAATTGTATTGCTAAAGTGGCTTTTATTTTTATTTGAGATGGAGTCTCGCTCTTTCTCCCAGGCTGGTGTGCAGTGGCATGATCTCAGCTCACTGCAACTTCCATCTCCTGGGTTCCAGCAACTCTCCTGCTTCAGCCTCCTAAGTAGCTGAGATTACAGGCACCACCACGCCATGCTAATTTTTGTTGTTTTTAGTAGAGATGGGGTTTTGCCACATTGGCCAGGCTGGTCTCGAACTCCTGACTTCAAGAGATCCACTCACCTCAGTTTCCCAAAGTGCTGGGATTACAGGTGTGAGCCACTGTGTGTGGCCTTAAAGTTGCTTTTTAAACCAAGGGTGCTGGTTGGGTATGGTGGCTCAAGAGTCTGAGGCTGCAGTGATGAGCTATCAGCTTGAGCTATGATCAAGTCACTGTACTCCAGCCTGGGTAACAGAGTGAGACCCCCCATCTCTAAAAACACAAAACACAATGAAACAAAAAAACCTGAGAGTGCTATGTCCCTCTTACATCCCTCATCTGGGGGGGGAAAAAAAAAAAAAAAAAAAAAAAAAAAAAAAAAAACCTCACAGAAGTGTTTTGAGTATTAAATAAACTAACATATACAGAACACTTAGCATAGTGCTTACTCACCTCATTCTTTCACTCAAAAATATATTTCCAGAGCTCCTGCTATGTGCCACATAGACAATGTTCTAGCCACTAATGGAGCGACAGCAAACGAGAGACAAAATCCTACCCTCATGAAACTTACATGGGGGTTGCAGGAGGCGCAGAATGGCAGGCCGGAAATTCAACAAGTAAGCAAATGAACAGTGCTACAGAGAAAGGCTAAAGAAAGGCGGGAGAGCAGAAGTGCCAGGAGGTGCTGGTTTGGATAGAGCAGTCATTAAGGGCCTCACCGAGCAGTAACTCTTGAGCATAGGGCAGATGACCTGAGAGTGTACTGTAGGGATGCCCGGACAAAAGCATCTCAGACAGAAAGGACAGGAAACAGATCCCCTGGGATGGAAGTATGCTTGACTCAATAAAAGCCAAGAGGGGTCTCTTCTCACCTCTACTCCCACACCTGAGCCCTTTGGTTTTCTTAATGGTGGCTCCTGTGATGATACTGATTTTAGGTGCGTAAGTATTGGCCATGCCTGCACATAGATGGAGAGACCCTCATTGATAAAAACCTGCTCCTTGCAGTGTGCTTCAAATGCATAAAGAAAAGTAGCTAAGATGAAGTTCTTTGTGGAAGACTATTTCTGTTCATGACTATTTGATTTACAATGTTGTGAAAGGTGACTGGGTTTCCAGGCTAGACCACAGGACCCTACCTAATGTCTCACGTAGACGGAACGTGGGGCACTTGTAATAGAATACAGTGGAAGACAGCCCTGTTACCACTGTGTAGCATGATGTTCTAAATTCTATTCCAGCTCTGACATTCCATATTTCTACGATATATAAAAGGAGCAAAGGGAAAATTCATTACCTGTAGTAGAAGTTGAATGGGCCTTTGTGGGTTGACCTGGAGACCCAACACACACTTATAACATTCTGTTTGCAGAAAAATGAGTTCTGGGTTTCAAGGGCTACACTTACAGACATTCAGAACATAGACCATTTATGAAATGGAGACTTCCTGTGGTAGGTGAGAGTGTCCCTGGTGGCAACGGGCAGGAAGAGATTAAAGATCAAAGCCCAGAACTACTGTAGCTGGAGCCTTAATGAGGGAAACACTGATCATGACGGACAACCCAGACAGAGTCCTCGGAGAGCCGCCAGCCACCACATTGCACGGCTAGTGCCGGTACAGCATTCAGGAACACTGCGAGTCATGGAGTGCCCTGCACAACCTTCTGTAGAAGTCAACTGATAGAGCCCTCTAAAGAAAGGACCCGAAAAAATGTCAATGTACTTTTCTTTTTACATTCTTGGGGGTACGTTTTCTTCCCCCTCATCATCTGTCTCTTGTATTGTTACAGTAGAAATGCAAAGTGGAAAAAAATTGTATTTTGGCTAACAGTTATTCAGGATAGGATAGGATGTTGTAGCAAAACACTAAACTTGAAAACTAGGCATTATTCAGAGAGAAAAAGTTCTTCCAAATGCTTTGATCTCCTGCTTTAATATATGAGAATCCAGACGGGACCACAAAAGTCTATATAGGAAATAAAAAGAGGTGAGAGGAAAGTCTATTTAGTCCCAGGA